ATTGTGAAAATGTCAGTTCTACCCAAAGCAATCTATACATGCAATGCAATCCTAATCCAGATCCCATCAACATTTTTTAAGGATATGGAGAAACCAATCACTAACTTTATATGGAAAGGAAAGAGACCTTGGATAAGCAAAGCATGATTGAAGAAGAAGAAAGGAGGAGGTCTCAAACTGCTGGATCTCAAAACCTACTATACAGCCACAGTAGTCAAAACTGCCTGATGTTGGTTTAATGACAGAAACATAGACCAATGGAATAGAATTGATAATCCAGAATAGATCCATTGACCTATGGTCAGCTGATCTATGACAAAGGACCTAAATCCATTAAATGAGGAAGAGAATGTTTCTTTTAATAAATGGTGCTGGCAAAACGGAATATTCATTTGCTGAAAAATGAAACAAGAACTGAACCTCACACCATACACACAAAAAAGTAACTCCAGATGGATGAAAGACTTGAATATGAAACCTAAAACTATAGAGTTCCTCAAGGAAAAACTAGGGTCAAATTTAGGGGCCCGAGTATATGGCACAGACAGACTATCAAGCATAACCCAAAATGCACAAACAGCAGAAGAGAAACTAGATGAATGAGACTTTCTAAATATTAAATTTTATGTGCTTCCAAAGACTTCTCCAAAAGAGTCAAAAGAGAACCTACAGATTGGGAAAAAATATTTGGGAATGACATATCTGACAAGGGACTCATCTCTAGAATTTATAAAAAAACTCCAACACCGCAATAACAAAAAGACAAATAATCCAATTAAAAAATGGGCAGAAGACATGAATGGACACTACACCAAGGAGGATATTCAGGTGGCCAAAAAACATATGAAGAAATGTTCACGATCATTAGCCATTAGAGAGATGCAAATCAAAACTACCATGAGATTCCATCTTGCTCTAGCACTAATAGCAAAGTTCATCAAGACACAAAATAACAAATGCTAGCAAGGCTGTGGAGAGATTGGGACTCTCATACACTGCTGTGGGACTGTAAAATGGTACAACCACTGTGGAAAGCAGTATGGCGGTTCCTTTAAAAGTTGGTATTAGAAATACCACTTGACCCAGCTATTCCATTACTAGGTATATCCTAAAGAAGTGAGAGCCATGACAAGAACAGACATATGCACACCCATGTTCACTGTAGCACTATTTACAATAGCCAAAAGATGGAAACAACCTAGGTGTCCATCAACTGAGGAATGGTTAACCAACTATGGTATTTACACATAATGAAATACTATGCAACCCTAAACAATAACCTAGAATCTACAAAACACTGTATAATGTGAATGAACTTGTAGGACATTATTCTGAGTGAAATAAGTTAATCACAGAAGGGCAAATATTGTATTAGTCCATTACTGTAAAACTCAAGGAACGGTTTTATATATGGAAGGAAATTTTCTTTGTTGGGTACCAGGGGTGGGAGGGGAGGGGAGGGAACACTGTTAGAATAGGTAGAAGTAAGTATTGATTTGGGTGAAGAGAAAGGCAATGTACCAAATATGAGCGATCAACATGATGGCACTGAAGAAGAGGAAGACAGACAGAGGTACATGGGAGGTACAGACAAGAAAGGTGAATCTTTTTGCACATATAGTACTGCGTTGTCAGTGAAGGCAAACATGGTTATACGGATGGATAGATAGGTGGACAGGCTGAACTATTAGGTATGTCTATGAAGTGGGGAGTGTACCCAAGACCACGTATAGGGTTGGCAGACAATGGTCCTATAAGTGTATTTGTATGGTCTGAATTCCCAGGTGTATAGTAGAACTGACAAGGGACAAGATTGTAGTCACTTCTTGGTCACAGCCAGCTACCCAGAAGGACCAAGTAGTTGAACCTGTGGGCTTGGGACCATAGTCACAGGGGACTCAATTGGTATAACATACTACACAAAACAGTGTTCCACCTCCTACTTTGGCGAGTAGAGACTGGGATCTTAGAAGCTTGCAAACAGCCATCTAGATACAACGATGGCTCTCTCCTTGTCCAGAGCAAAGAAGAAAGAAGAAAACCAAAGATTCATGGAAACAGTTAGTCCTTGCGACTGGTACACCATGTGATCCGCAGCCTATACAACTATGAGACCAGAAGAACTAGATGGTGCCCAGCTACCACTGTCAACCACTCAGAGGGCGTTCTATGTAGGAGATCCTGGACAGAGAGGGAGAACAATGTGGAACAAAACTCAAAATCATTGGGGGGAAAAAAGAGAGGGGACAGGTTTGCTGGTCTGACAGAGCCTGGTGGAACCACTGAGAATATTGACCCTACCTGCCCTTCAGGTCTGAAATTGAACCCATACCTGTAGCTTCTAGCCAAACAAAAGACAGGCCAATGAGTTGAACAAGGAGGTAGATACACTCCTTGGAGAGAACAAGCATGGGGGAAAGAAGGGCTGTTTATGCCTAGGGTGACAGCTCAGGGGGCAGGAGTACATGAAGGGATGGACATAGGGAGGAGGTAACTATCAGGAGAGAGTGGAAGGGGAGCTGTTGCACTGTGGTAAATTGAAGTCAATGTCATGGGATAAAGTATATGTGAACTGCTGTATGGAAAGTGAATTTGTAAATTTTCACTCAAATCACTATTAAAAAAATTGAAAAAAAAATTATACAAAAAAAGAAAGGCAGGAAAGCTATTATGTATACATACGGTTTTTACTGCAGACATGATACATAGCCCATAGTGCCCACAGCTGAACCTCTGGCTGAGAGAAGTTGCCAAGGAGTGGGAAAAATGCCTTGAAAGATCTAAAAGGGTACAAAGATTCACTCAGAATTTTGGCTAATATTCAGGAATATATTAACAGTTTTTAATATTTTCCTCACAGATTTGATTTTTCACAGTGTATTGCTGAGTATCCAGTACCAGCCATCATTTAAAAAATGCATCCTGTGTTAAACACTTTATACATTCAGCATCTCATTTTACCCTCAATCTTGTCCACTGTCAGCCTTGTTTTACAGATGAGGAAAACTAGTCTTTGACGCTTTCTAAAAGTAACTTTGGCAATATCACAGAATAAGATTTGAACACAAAGCTAATTGATTCTAATACTTTATCATTGTCCCAGGGCTTCTATGCAGTGAGTAGATCAAAGACAAGATTTAAGAGAAAACATCATCAGCATGAAATTTACCTGTAGGTCACCAATGCTGTCATCTTACAACTCGACCTTGGCCAATTTTGGATGGTTGTATGCTATAAAAAAAGAGAAACCAGGATTCTAATATTCCATCAATTTAAAACAGTCATAATTTCATGTGATTTATAATCATATAAATCACAAACAAAATAATTTTCCACGATAAATACCAGTTAGGTAATGACTATATGTGTAGAATATAAAAAAAAAAAAGAAAAAAAAAATTAAACAATAAGGAGGTGTCTGCTGATAAAGATGGCAGATTGAGCATGGTTTTACCTTCACTCTTTTCCTAAAGCCCATTAACAGGCTAACAAACATCTTTTTAAAAAAGAGAAGGCAGATACACAAAGAACAAATCAGATGGAGAAATGGAGACTTGTTTAGCACATCTAGCAATGGGGAAGGAGCTCTGGTAGCATAGTGCCTAAGGCACTTGACTGCAAACCAGAAGGCTGGCGGTTCAAACCCACCAGCCACTCCTTGGAAGGAAGGTTGGGCAATCTACTTCCGTAGTGATACTGCCTTGGAAACCCAAGGAAGGGTCGCTATGAGTAGGGTCCTACTTGAAGGCACATAACAACAACAATAGCAGTGGGGAAGGTTAAAAATAACTTCAATTTGAAAAGAATCACCAAAAGGTTTAGAAATTTCACACACCAAGTACTTCTGGAAGTGTGATTAAACGTGAGGCTGAAAATAGGATTGGTTGAAAGTATGCTTCTGAAAAAGATTCTCAGATCTTCTCTGCTACCTCTAATAAGAATTTCTGGACTAGGCATCCTCATGATGAACATTCAAAGGTGGGAACATCATACTAAAAGGCAGATTAAGTGAAAATCTAAATATGAAATGTTGAGACACCATTACCCTACTCCCATCCCTGCTAGCCCTCTTCTCTTAGTGGACTTTCACACTGTTAGTAGTCAAGCATATAGTTTTCATGCAGGAGAACAGAACTGTCTTCTCCAGGGAAATTCCAACCAGTTCAGGGCAAAAGATCTAAAGACACAGACATTGAGGGACACCTAACCCAGATTACTCTATAATGAAGCCATAGTTGACAAGCCTGACATATGTGCATACACATTATATATAAACAGATATTTAAGGATCATCAGACATTTAGAGAATCTCTAAAATAAATAAAACCAAAGTATACATTAAAAAAAAAAAAACATCTGGAGGAAATAGAGACCTTGGATAAAGAGGAAAACTTAAATATTTATGTATTTCACTAATATCCTTAAAAAGAAAAATAGGTATACCAACCATGAAACAAGAACAGGATGCTATAAAAAAAAAGCATTCAGAGAACAAAAAAAGAGTTCCTGGAAATTAAAAATGTAATAGCAGAAATACAAAATCCAAAGGAGCAGAAGCTGAAAAAAATGTCAACAAATAGGGAAACGAGGGAGAAAATATGTCCCAGAAAAAGTAAATGGGAGAGGGGAGATATATATATAAAATAAAAGGAGGGAAAAATAAATAAAGTTGTTTTTTTTTTTTTTAAATCAGAATTTCCAGAACTGAAGGAAATGAGCTTCCAGAATAAGAATCCAACATAATAAATGGGAAAAAAAAGCTATTCAACATACCTCACTGTGATTCCCAAACACTGAAAAGAAAAATCTTAAGCCTTCCAAAGAAAAATGGCACAGGAATTTTTAACAGTGATACTTAAAAGTAGAGAACAGAGCAATGACTTGAAAATTCTGAAGGGAAGTATTTCAAACAAAATGCTGTATCTTGGAATTAAATCCATTAAATGTAAGGGATAAAGGCCTTCTAATAGGTGAGATCTCAAAATTTCTCTTTCATGAATCTCAGAATGCTACTGGAGTATGTGCTCTCATAAAATGAGGGAGTAAACCAATGACAGGAAGGCATGCAATCCAGGAAACAAGAGGAAAATTTCCTGTACCAGATCCTGGAGAAGAGCAATTCTCTGAAGGTCACGGGACATCCAGGGCTGTTTGTCAGAGGCCAGATGGGCTATAATGCCTGCTGCTAAATAGCTGACTTCCATTTCTTTGCTATGGAGTAAACTGCTGATGTGCCTCACCACATCTTCGGTCATCAGGTCAGAAGACAGCTCTTTGACTTCAGCTACATTGTTCTATAGTTTGGATGGATCAGAGAATACCAGGAACAGGAAAGGAGGAAAGAGTTAGGAACTGAGTTTTCTTCCTTCCCTACTACTCTGGCTCAGATACATTCACAACACTTCCATTCTCCTGACTCTCTATTCGTCCTAATATCTACAATCCCACCTCTTGATAATGATCATCATCATTACTAGTAACAAATCATTGAACGAGCACTTACTAAGTGCCAGGCACAGTATTGTTGTTGTTAGGTGCTGTCAAGTTGTTTCCAACTCATAGTGACCCCATGCACAGCAGAACGAAACACCACCCAATCCCGCACCAGCTCCATGATCCTTGCTATACTTGAGCCCACTGTTGCAGCCACTGTATCAATCCACCTCATTGAAGGCTTTCCCCTCTTTCATCGACCCTCCACATTACCAAGCATGACATCCTTCTCCAGGGAATGGTCCCTTCTGACAACATGACCAAAGTAGGTGATACGAAGTCTGGCCATTCTCGCTTCCGAGGAGCATTTCGGCTGCACTTCCTCCAGGACAGATCGGTTAGTTCTTTTAACAGTCCATGGTACTTTCAGCATTCTTCGCCAGCACCACAACTCAAAAGCATCCTCTCTTCTTCGGTCTTCCTTATTCATTGTCCAGCTCTCACATGCATACGAGGTGACTGAAAATATCATGGCTTGTGTCAGTTGCACCTTAGTCCTCAAGGAGACATCTGTGCTCCTCAGCACTTGAAAGAAGTACTTCGTGACTGACTTGCCCGGTGCTACATGTTGTCTAATGTCCTGACTGGTGCTTCCATTGGCGTCAATTATAGAACCAAGAAATGTGAATTCTTTGACAATCTCAATCTTTTCTCCATTTATTGTGATGCTGCTTCTTGGTCCAGTTGTGAGGATTTTTGTTTTCTTTATATTGAGATGTAATCCATACTGTATACCGTATTCTTCTGTACTAGACAAACAATAATGACTTTCTATATATTTTACCTCATTTAATCCTTAAAATAATCCTACAAAGAAACCTGACAGGAAGGCTGACTTACCAGGTTCACACTGCTGATAACTGCTAATAACACAAATCTAGGCTTGACTCAAATACTTAACATTATTGAGGCCTACATATATAACTACATGTTATATTACCTTTAAATTTTAACAAGAATGAAAAGCAGGTGGTAAATACTTTTACAGATTATATTAATTTTCTATGCTGTGTAATAAATAATCATATATTTAGTGTCTTAAAAAATACAGATTTATTATCTCAGTTTCTGTAGGTGAGGAACGCAGGCATGGCTTAGTTAGGTCCTCTACTCAGAGATCACAGAAGGATGCAATCAAAGTGTTGGCTGGGCCACATTCCTCTGTAGGTTTGACTGGGGGAGATTCCATTTCCAAACTTACTCAGACTGTTGGAAGAATTCACTTCCTTATAGCTACAAGACTCAGGGCTTCTGTGTGGTTTTTATTTTATTTTATTTTATTTTTTCCCTGGAAGACACTCTCAGCTCCTAAAGACTGCCCATAGTTCCTTGCCAAGTGGACTTCTCCAACTACTTACTTCATTGGCAGCTTACTACTTCAAAGCTAGCAATGAACAGTCTCTCTAGCATGTCTGCTAGCAAGACAGAATAATATCTCTCTCTACATATACATAAAATAATGTAATCAGGAGTGACATCCCATCACCTTTGCCATATTCTATTCATTAGAAGGAAGGCAAAGGTCCTGCCCATGTTCAGAGGAAGGGAATTATCCAAAGGTATGAACATGACTGTGAACATGGTATTAGAATCATTGGGAGGTGGGCTCATAGGGTCTATCCACCACACACATGAAAAAAAGGTTTAGTGAGGTTAAATCAGATAATCATATACCCAATATGATCTACTACCCCCGGAATGCCAAACTGAAGAGGAATGATGCTGCATGCATTGGCAAAAAAGACATTTCAGGATCTAACTTCAAGTAAAATGGTGTCAGTGGCAGGATAATATCCATATGCTTACAAGGAATACCATTTAATACAACTGTTATTCAAATATACATACCAAGCACTAATGCCAAAGATGAAAATACTGAAGATTTTTTACCAACTTTTGCAGTCTGTAATCTATCAAATATGGAATCAAGATGCATTGATAACTACTGTTGACTTGAATGTGAAAGATGGAAATAAAGAAGAAAGATCAGCAGTTGGAAAATATGGCCTTGGTGAAAGAAACAACACTGGAGACTGCATGATAGAATTTTGCAAGACTGATGACTTACTCATTGGAAACAACTTTTTTAAAGGACATAAACAGCAACTATATGTAAGGACCTTGCTGGATGGAATCAAACTGACTACATTTGTGGAAAGAGATGATAGAGAACCTCAGTCAAAACAAGACCACGGGCTGATTACAAAACAGATCATAAATTGCTCATAGCACATTCAAGGTGAAGCTGAAGAAAATTAAAACAAGGTCACGAGACCCAAAATATGACCTTGAGTACATCAAACCTGAGACTGTCCAACTCAAGATTAGATGTGACATGCTAAGCACTAATGGCCAAAGACCAGACTAGTTGTGGGATGACATCACACATGAAGAAAGGTCATTAAAAAGACAGGAAAGAAAGTGGGGGGGGGGGAGGGAAGGATGCCAGAAGAGACTTTGAAACTTGCTCTTGAACACTGAATACCTAAAGCGAATGGAAGAAATGATGAATCAAAAGAAGATTTCAAAAGGCACCTCAAGAATACAAAGTAAAATATTATAATGAAATGTGCAAAGACTTGGAATTAGGAAACCAAAAGGGAAGAACATACTCGCCATTTCTCAAGGTGAAAAAACTGAAGAAAAAAATTCAAGTCTTAAGCTGTAATATTGAAGGATTCTATGGGCAAAGTATGAAATTACACAGGAAGCATCAAAAGAAGATAGAAAGAAAACACAGAGTCACTGTACCACAAAGAATTGACTAATGTTCAATCATTTCAGGAGGAAGCATACAATCAAGAAACACTGGTACTGAAGGAAGAAGTCCAAGCTGTACTAAAGGCATTGGAGAAAAACAAGGCTTTAGGAACTGACAGGATAACAACTGGAATGTTTCGATGGATGGATGGAGCACAAGAGGTGCTTACTACTCATCTATGCCAAAAAATTTGGAAGACAGTTACCTGGCCAATCAACTGAAAGAGATTTTCTCTTTGTGCTTATTTCAAAGAATGGAGAAATTATCAAACAGTATCATTAATACCACATGCAAGTACGATTTTGCTGAAGATAATTCAAAAGCAGTTGCAGCAGTACATTGACAAGAAACTGCCAGAAATTTAAGCCAGATTCAAAAGAGAATGTGAAATTAGGGGTATCATTGCTGATGTCAGATGGATCTTAGCTGAAAGCAGAGAATACCAAAAAGATGTGTACATGTGTTTTATTGACTATGCAAAGGTGTTCAACTGTGTGGATCATAACAAATTATAGATAACAGTGCAAAGAATGGGAATTCCAGAATACTTAATTTTGCTCAAGAGGTCCCTGTCAATAGACCAAGAGGCAGTTGTTCAAACAGAACAAGTGTATACTGCGTGGTTTAAAATCAGGAAAGGTGTGTGTCAGGCTTGTGTCCTTTCATCACACTTTTCCAATCTGTAGGTTAAGCGAATAATCCAAGAAGCTGGGCTATATGCAGCATCAGCACTGGAGGAAGACTCAATAACAACCTGTGATACACTGATGACACAACCTTGCTTGCTAAAAGTGAAGACTTGAAGCACATACTAAAAAAGATCAAAGACCATGACCCTCAGTATACATTATATGCAACATAAAGAAGACAAAAATCTCACAACTGGACCAATAACCAACATTTTTATAAATGCAGAAAAGACAGAAGTTGTCAAGAATTTAATTTTACAGGGATCTACAATCAATGTCCATGAAAGGAGCAGTCAAGAAATTAGATGATGTATTACTGCATTGGGCAAATCTGCAAGAGATCTTTTTAAAGTGAAAGACATCACTTTGAAGATTAAGGTACACCTGACCCAAGCTATGGTACCTTCAAGTTCCTCATATGCATGTGAAAGCTGGACAATGAATAAGGAAGACTTAAGATGAACTGTTGTCTTTGAATTGCAGTATTGGCTGAATATAATATGGACTGCCAGAAAAGCAAACAAATCTGTCTTGGAAGTAGTACTACCAGGATGCTTCTTAGATGTGTGGATAGCGAAACTTCATCTTCCATATTTTGGACATGTTATCAGGAGGCCTACTCCCTGGAGAAGGACATTATGTTTGGGAAAGTAGAAGGTCAGTGAAAAACAGGAAGACCTTCAATGAAATGGATTAACACTGCCTGTAACAATGGAATCAAACATAGCAATGACCATGAGGCTGATGCAGGAAAGGGCTGTGTTTCATTCTGTAATACACAGGGTTGCTATGAGTTGAAATTGACCAGATGACACCTAATAAGTTAAACACACAGTCAAAGTACACACAGCAATTAAATGCAAACTTAGAACTTAATTCCTTATCTGTTCAAATGAAAAGGCAGCTTTCAAGAAAGTACACCTTAGAAACTATGCTGAAGGAGAGTTCCAGTAAGATGGCGGACTAGGCAGAAAGACTGCACAAACCCTCTTCAACAAAGAAAAAGGACCCAATCGACAAAGACACAGAAGATAATCCTGGACTCCTGAGCCTGGGAGGGAAGGATATAGAAGTGGACTAAACCCCAACTAGCAAAAGAATTTCCAAGAAAATACCAAAAAAGGAGACATACGGACCTGCGGTCTGGCAGCAATCCTGACAGTACAGACAGCTTAGAGAGTGCCAAGTGGTGGTAGGATCTAAGAATTAACCTAAAAATCAGCCCTGCTAGCCAGGGACTGCATGGAGGACTGCTCTGGTGACAGGAATAAACGGAGAAAGCGAAGAGAAAGGTGGGTTGAGCTGTGAACTGTCGCCTGTCCGGAGGACACTGCCATTTTGAACACTTACAAGAGGCTTGACCATTTTGGATATTTAAAGAGACAGCGCTCTCCCAGATTCCAGGGGCTTAAGAACAGGTTCTGCTTGCCAGCAAACCCAAGGATACTCCGGACCTGAATGACTGAAAAGTGTGACATTCCCCTTGTTACTCTTATACCCCATAGCCGCTTGGTGAATGGAGATGCAGCCATCCCCCACTCCCATCCACCTTCTTGGCCAACAGGAACTCCATCCCAGTCTGTGTGCTCAGACAGAGCCTGGGTGCCCTGCCCTGTCCTCCACCAATTTTTTTTCTCTTCCTTTTTTCTGGTGTTTAGTTTGCTTGTATTTGTCTGTTTTAAAATGACTATTATTAATAATAATTTTATCCTTTTTACTATTACTCTTTATTCTTCCCCTCCCGGGTCCTAGTTTTCAGCTTATATTCTTTACCCTGTTCCTGGCTGAAGAAAAAAAAAAAATTTTTTTAATTTAATTTTTTTCCTCCCCTTTTTTCTTGTGGTTAACACTGTTCCTTATTTTTATTTTTTCATTTTTCCCATTTTTTTCTTCATTATTCTCCTCCATTTCAAGCCGGGCTCTTCTATCAATTAATGTCTGAAGACAACCCACTCTGCCAGGAAGCTGCCTACCCGGTTTTCTCCTCCGTGGGCTGGTAAGCCTGTTGCTGTTTAATGCTGGTCTCTGGGCTCTGCTACTGCCGTCTCCCATGCTGGTCTCTCTACCAGTATCTCTCTGCCAGTCTCTTGGCTCTGCTGCTGCCATTTCTCATGCCATATGCCAGGGTCTCTCTTCCAGTGTCTCTGGTCAAGGATGCACTCCACTCCTGTTTCCACATTTCGGGTATCTGTCAGAGCAGCATCCCACTCTCTTGGTACCATATTCTGTTCTGGTTACCTGGTACCACTCTAACAGGAATATACCACAAATGGGATGACTTGAACAAACAGGAGTTTACTCTCTTACAGTTTGGAGGCTTTAAGGCCAAGTTCAAAGTGCCAGGCTTTAGGGGCTGGGTAAAGCCCCTCAACCTTGGGCTTCACCTCTGCCTCCTGCTTCCGGCCCACTGGAGCTAGAGTCTTTTCTTCACTCAGACAGCTACTAGCTGCTGAGGGTGACAAGCCCAAGGTTGACAAACAAAAAGGTACAGTCCTGATTTTACCAAACCACACAGCAGGCCATTAATTCAAGTCCACTGAAAGTCCCAGGGTCACCAGAGCATGGCAGGCTGCTGAACGACATAGCTACATGTAGTGTTCAAGCGTGCCATAAGCTAGAGACCATTCCCAAGGCTTCTCCTTATATACAGGAAGCAGACCACATCCCTAAGGCAGCTACTCAGCTGCTTGTGGTAGGTCCCACCATAGAGCTGATTGCCACTCTCATCATGGGGAATAACTACTACCAGCTGCCCAGCCACTCAGCCAGCCCAGCCAAGTTGACACACAAACTTAACCACTACAGATCCCTTAGTACTAGGGTACTTAGCATTGTATAGGATATATCAATCCACCTTTCTGGCCTAATTTTGTATTGCTTATTTCCTTCCCATCTCCTCCTCAAATTCTACATATTCTGTATTATATGTTCCTCAAATGATTACATTTTTTCATCATCCCTAGCCAAAAATGACTTTTTCCTTTCCTCCTTCGACTTTCTGTACCTTCCAAATTTCTAATATTAAGCATTTATTCCTCTCTGTGAAGCCTTTCTTTCACATTTCATGTTTCGACAGTCCTTACTTTCAAGGAGTTCATGATCTAGATTCTAGATCTACAATCAAAGGTTCCCACCGGACTTTGTGCCTTTCCTAGCATTTTCCATATCAAACCAAACTCAGTGCCCTTGAGTTGATTCCAAGTTATACCAACTCTCATTAGGTTTCTGAGGCTGTAAATCTTTACAGAAGTAAACTGCCCCATCTCCTTTTCAGAGAATGGCCGGTGGGTTTGAACCACTCACTGACCTTCTGGTTAGCAGCCAAATGCCTTATCTACTATGCTACGAGAGCTCCTTACAGCACCTATCATGTTGTTGTTGTTGTTGTTATGTGCCGTCGAGTCAGCCCTGACTCATAGCGACCCCTCCTTGGGTTTCCGAGGCAGTATCACTATGGAAGTAGGATTGCCTAACCTTCCTTCCGAGGAGTGGCTGATGGGTTTGAACCGCCAGCCATCCGGTGAGCAGTCAAGTGCCTTAGCCACTATGCTACCAGAGCTCCCACAGCACCTATCATAGTCACTCTTAAATTACAGAGCTATTTATTATGCCTAATGCCACCTCCGTAAACTTGTAAGCTCTGTCAGTTTGACATGTTTCATGTATCTGTGGCTCCCATAGCACTCAGCACTGCAAATGGGAGGGGTTCAATATGTCTTTATTTCTTTTTTGTAATAAAAGTACATCATTATCTTTAAGAAATAAAGAAATTTCTCAATTATGGAATATCCTGATAGAGAGGCAGTACAGAAGTCTAAACAAAGAAATTTCTGAAAAATTACTTATATTAATAAAGAAGAATTATAGTAAAGTAGTTAATGTCAGGAATTCTTGAGGCAGAATGCCTACATTTGAACTCGGATTCTGGCTTACTACCTAGGTGACTTTGGGTAAATACCATGTCTCTTCCTCAGAATCTGTATTTATAAAAATGTGGATAATAATGTGTTGTGGAGTATAGAACATGCCACATTTTCTCTTACCCTATTTATACATCCCTTGGCAATGTGACTTCATTGTTCCTCCCATCAAGCAGTATAGAGTCTATTTCTCCAAATCCTTTATGCTGGGCTTAACCATGCAACTTGCTTTGGCCAATGGGATATTAGCAAATGTGACATAAGAAGCAGTTTAAGAAGCACTTGTACAGGGAAGCTTGTACTCTATTGCTGCTGTGAGAATGCCATGTTAAGAAGCCCAGGCCAGTACTAGATATCAGCTGCCAGAAATGAGAGTCAGGCCATCTTAGACCATATAGTGCCAGTGGAGCCACCACATGACTGAAGCTACATGAGTTAACCCACCAGCAGAAAAACTGGTACAATTGAGCCTAGCCTAAGCAGCTGACTCACAAAATCATAAGTAAATAAAAAAGATATTGTTTTAAGCCATAAGTTATAGTTCATTCACAGGAATAGATGAGTGATACACAATGGTATTTAGATATGAAGAAAAAAATGAGTTAATACATGTTAATCAATCACTTACAACAGCGCTCAGCACACAGAAGGTATGTAAGTATTACTTTTCTTCTTTTTGAAGTAATTAGAATTAACACAAAACAATTCATCTTACCAAAAGGCCAAGGACTTTGCTTTGTATGGCTGACTCTGAAAAAGTCTGTCAAAAGAATACATAGGTTGGTTACTTTATCATGAAGAAACAACCTTTACGTATAAACTCAACTGTTTTTTCACCTCTAAAACCTGGATGTAGGTTGCCAATCCTTCATTTTCAATAAAGTGCTTGCAGGCAGCTGGAGACTCATCTGTAAGGTTCCAAAGTGCTTTCAAAGTAAACAAGAGGGTGACATCATCTAAATTCTCAGTCATCTTCTGTTTTACTATTGCTAGAAGTTCCTAAAAACCAAAGAGAAAGGGAGTTAGATGCTCTAATAACTGAGAGTCCATTCCAGTATACAGAAAGCAATTGTTAAGTAGAGCTATAGAATCAAAGCTGGGTTCTTAACCCAAGTTCCACCACTTAAAAACTGTGTGATCCATTTTCTCTTATAAAATGAATTATACCTACCTCTTAAGGTTATGCTAGTTCAAGTTGAAGCTGAAGATAATTAAAACGAGTCCACGAGAACCAAAATATGAACTTGATAATATACCTCCTGAATTTAGAGACCACCTAAAGAACAGATTTGATGCACTGAACACCAACGACTGAAAACCAGAGGAATGGTGGGATGACATCAAGAACATGATCCATGAAAAAAATTAGGGATCATTAAAAAGACAGGAAAGGAAGACAAGACCAAAATGGATGTCAGAAGACTCTGAAACTTGCCCTTGAGCAGAGAGAGTAGTTCAAGCAAATGGAAGAAATGACAAGATAAAAGACCTGAACAGAAGATTTCAAAGAGCAGCTTGAGAAGACAAAGCCAATTATTATAATGAAATGTGCAAAGACCTGGAATTAAAAAACCAAAAGGGAAGAATATGCTTGGCATTTCTCAAGCTCTAAGAACTGAGGAAAAAATTTAAGCCTCGAGTTGCAATATTGAAAGATTCTATGGGCAAAATATTGAATGATGCAGGAAGCATCCAAAGAAGATGGAAGGAATAGACAGAGTCACTGTACCAAAAAGAACTGGTCAATATTCATCCATTTCAGGAGGTGGCATATGTTCAAAAACCAATGGCATTGAAGGAAGAAGTAGAAGCTGCACTGAAGGAAGTAGCAAAGAACAAAGCTCCAGGAATTGACAGAATACCCACTGAGATGTTCGACAAACAGAGTGAGTGCAGGACTGGAAGCATTCAATTCGTTATGCCAAGAGGTTTGGAAGACAACTACCTGGCCAACTGATCCATATTTGTACCCATTACAAAGAAAGGTGATCCCTCAGAATGTGGAAATTATCAAACAGTATCATTAATATCACATGCAAGTAAAATCTTGCTGAAGATAATTCAAAAACGGTTGTAGCAGTATATTGACAGAGAGCTTCCAGAAATGCAAGCAGGATTCAGAAAAGGACATGGAACGATGGATATCATAGCTGATGTTAGATGGATTTTGGCTGAAATCAAAGAATAACAGAAAGATGTTTACTTATGTTTTACTGACTATGCTGGATAATGTTGAGAAAAATGGGCATTCCAAAACACTTGACTGTACTCATGAGGAATCTGTACATAGATCAAGAGGCTGTTGTTTGAACAGAACAAGGAGATTTTGCATACTTGAAAATCAAGAAGGGAGTGCATCAGGGTTGTATCCTTTGACCATATTTATTCAATTTGTATCATAAGCAAATAATCCGAGAAGCTGGATTATATGAAGAAGAATGTGGCATCAGGATTGGAGGAAGACTCATTAACAACCTGCGATACTTAGATGACACCAACTTTGCTTGCTGAAAGTGAGGATGAGCACTTACTAATGAAGATTAAAGACCTCAGTCTACAGTATAGATTATACCTCAATATTAAGAAACAAAAATCCCCAGAACTGGTCCAATAAGCAGTCATGATGGATGAAGAAAAGACTGAAATTGTCAAGGACTTCATATTACTTGGTTCTACAATCAACACCAATGGAAGCACCAGTTAAGACATCAGACAACATATTGCATTGGGCAAATCTGCTGCAAAGAACCTCTTTCAAGTGATGGAGAGCAAAGATGTCTCCTTGAAGGCTAAGATATGCCTAACCCAAGCCACGGTATTTACAATCACGTCATATGTATGCGAGAGCTGTACAATGAACAAGGAAGACCGAAGAAGAGTTGATGCTTTTGAGTGTGGTGTTAGAGAAGAATGTTAAGAGTACCATGCATGGTCTGCTAAAAGGACTAACAAATCTGTCCCGGAAGAAGTGTAGCCAGAATGCTGCTTGGAAGCGAGAATGGCCAGACTTCGTCTCACCTACTGTGGTCATGTTGTCAAAAGGAAGCATTCCCTGAAGAAGGATATTATGCTTGGTAAAGTGGAGGGTCAATGAAAAAGAGGAAGACCCTCAATGAGATGGATTGACACAGTGGCTGCAACAATGGGCTCAGGTATAACAAGGATTGTGAGGCTGGCACAGGACTGGGCAATGTTTTGTTCTACTGTACATAGGGTGGCTGTGGGTCAGAGATGACTCGACAGCACCTAACAACAACAACAACTTAAGATTTCTATGAGGATGAAATTAAAACAAACAAACAAAAGTTTAACGAGCACTCAGTCCAGTGCTTGGTAATAGCTAGCACTCATAATTAAGTCCATAGCAGCTATTCCATTATTCATTTAATCAGAATGTTTACTCAAGACTTTCTATGTCAGGTAGGAGAGACACACAAAACAAAGAGCTTTTATAGTTCTCCTCAACTATATTAAAGAATTGTAAGTTTTATTAAGTTTTTTTAAAGGAAACATGTAAAAACCTAAGAATTTACATAAGAAAGGGTTTATATACAAAGGTAAGATAACCTAAGACCACAAGAAAAAAACATAGGCCAGCCAAGGAAGGAATGGGGACTTGAGGTTGGAAGAGCATGCTTACGGAGAAGAAAGAGCAAAGTTCTGAAGCAAGAAAAAATGTGCTATTCTAGAACACTGAAGGAGCTCACCAGTTACTCTGTGGGAGAATGATGTGACGACAATCTGCTTCCGTAAGATTACAGCCTTGGAAACCCTATGAGGCAGTTCTACTCTGTCCTTTGGGGTTGCTGTGAGTCAAAATCGACAGCAATGGGCTAGGTCACTGAGCAGGCCAGTGTGGCAGGAGTATAATACCAATATTATAGACACATTATGTCACAGCTTAAGAAAACCAATGGCTCACTTCAACACAGATTCCTATGTGTCATTTTAGGTCAGAGTATTTCTGGACACAAGCTAGTATTTATGCTTTATTTTCTTTCATGTATATTAACTATCATGTAAGAAGAAAAAGACAACCATTTTCACTTAACCAGTTAGTAAAAAACCCAATGCCATTGAGTAGATTCCGACTCAGAGTAGAACTGCCCCTTTGGGTTTCCAAGGCTGTAAATCTTAGGGAAGGAGGCTTCCTCGTTCCTTCTCCTGCAGAGCAGCTGGTAGGTTCAAACTGCTGACTGGTTGGTTAACAGCTAAACATTAACCACTGTACCACGAGGGCACCTAAAAAGTAACACTATCATGTAAATAGGAGCTCTGGAGGAGTAATGCCTAAGGCATTTCACTGCTAACCAGAAGGCTGGTGGTTCAAACCCAGCAGCTACTCCTTGGAAGGAAAGTTGGGCAATCTACTACTATAGTGATACTGCCCCGGAAACCCAAGGAGGGGTGGCTATGAGTCGGATCCAACTCTACAGCAGTGAGTTTGGTTTTAGTTTTTACCATGTAAATAGACACACAAAGTAATCGAACAGAGCAGAGTTCAGAAATAGATGCAAATATACAAGGGAATTTAGTATATAATAAAAATGGATTTAAGATAAATTATTCAATAAAGGGCATTGGAGCAACTGGGTATACACTAAGAAGAAAAATAAAAATAGATCACTATAGCTCAAAAATTCCCAAATGAATCAAATATTTGTATGTGCTTTTTTAAAAAAGAGAGAAAGCAGAGAAACAGTACATAAAAAACATGGAGAATTTAAAAAATATATACTCCAAGAAACAGGAGAATACATTTAAACTATGCCAACAATCCCAGAGGCATTAAAAAGAAATAGATTAAAAAACAAAAATATAAACAAAATTAACTACAGTAGTTAAACAACTACTCCTCGGAAGGAAGATGGGGCAATCTACTTCCATAGTGATACTGCATCAGAAATCCAAGGAGGGGTCGCTATGAGTTGGGTCCAACTTGATGGCACACAACAACAACAACATATGGCAAAACATGCCATAAATAACGTAAAGCCAGACAAACAGCAAACTGAGGAAAATACATCCATCTCATATCACAGTCAAAGGCTTATTTTCTAAATGAATAAAGAAATACTATAAATTAGACAAAAGCCAACAGCCAAAAGAAAAATTATAAAGGCCATAAACAGACAATTCACTTGAAATATAAAGGACACTAAAATTTTTTTCAAAAAGATCAGCTCAAACGTCATCTCAAAAGAAGTGCAATGATACATACATTTTTTAGTGAGCAATGTCAGTATAACCAAAATAATGCAAATACTGATTAATGATTTATTAAAAATTGTGATACAAATTTGTTGGGGGTCCCTGGAAGAGGTTAATACATAGATATATGTAGGAGAGCAAAGCCCAGATTTACTATGGCAGAAAAGTCAACAGATATATCTAAAACTGATAAATCAAGGAATTGCTGTGTAAGTATTTAACTGAGAAATGTCAGGGTAAGTACCAGAAGAAATTAGTTACACTAGAGAGTAGATTCCTTTGGGGAGCTGAAATGACAGATTTTTCACATACAGATTCACAAAATCATACCCATATTTTTCATTATAGGTCTTTTAGAAGGATTTGATTTTCAAAACTAAATTCATGAATTACTTTCATTTAACAACAAAAAGGTTTCAAAAGTGACAATCAACCTACTTTGACTGCCATGAAGACCTCTTCCTTGAGTTGTGCGGTTTGTTCAGGTGAGAGCTATAAGTAAACAGAAAACCCAATGTGAAATACAGAAACTCAATGGGGACCTAGGAGAGAGCAATCTTGCCTTTAGAAACCACATACCTGCAGGGCTAAAATAGAGGTGATGCTCACTGCCATTGTTTGCATCTTGGGGTTTTCGTGCTTACAGAGCCATCTCATTACAAACTTGGCGGCATCAAATCTGAAAAACAGTACTGATTTTTCTCACAAAAGAAAGTTTGTGGAATTGTATGTGAGGAGAGAAGAAATCACACAGCCTTCCGCCTCTAAATTTTGTAATAGAAATAGCCTTGGATTTCCAAAACTTCAGCTATGAAAACCAAGGACATTTGGCAAACAGCGATTGGGGTGGGGGGAGAACATATTTGTAAGCACATGAGTGAAACGCACAGGATTCTGAGAAAGACAGTTTCTACTTTGATGGGTCTGAAAAAGAAGTTGTAATTCATTTGTAATTTGAATTGGTGGTGGTGTTGTTATGTGCCCTTGAGTCAGATCTGACTCACAGAGACCCTTCCTTGGGTTTCAGAGGCATTAACACTATGGAAGTAGATTGCCCAACCTTCCTTCCAAGGAGCAGCTGGGGGGTTTGAACCGCCAGCCTTCATGCCATAGCAAACAAATCACTCAGCTACACCAGGTTAGCCTACAACCCCCACACACAGATCAAAGAGGCTTTGTTCAGCCTGTGATTAATTTTTCTGCTGTCTGCAGCGACTCCTATGTTCTTAAATTCATGAATATGGAAGATTACAAAGGTCTCAAGAAGAATCCCTTTGGAATGTATAGGATGATGATTTTTTAAAGTTATTAATAATATCAAACAGAATGATTAATATTTAAAACAGCCCCATACTTCCTAAGCTGTCACAAATACTTTTGAAACATTATCATATTTAATCCTCTTAGGAATCACCACTTTACAAATAAGGAAATTTATGGTGAAAGATAATCCAAGAGCTAGAATTTGAATCCAAGTATGCTTGACTTCAGGAGCTCTGGTAGCATAGTGGTTAAGGCACCTGACTGCTAACCAGAAGGCTGGCGGTTCAAACCCACTAGGCACTCCTCAGAAGGAAGAAGGGGCAATCTACTTCCTTAGTGATACTGCCTCAGAAACCCAAGCAGGGGTCGCTATGAGTAGGGTCCAACTCAACGGCACATAACAACAACAACAATAATGCTTGACTTCAGAGTCCATGTTCTTACCCACTGCCCTGCACTGAAATCACACTTCAGGAGACACTGCAAGTAAGGTACACCAACCACATTTCTGTGAAAAAGGCTCAGTAGAGTCTTCTCCCCAAAAACCCTATCCCAGCCCTAATCAGGCCTGTGCTAAGGAAATAACCAAAAGTCCAACAATGCTCAGAGTAATACTGGTCAACATCCCAATCAGATGACCAAGATTTATACTTGCCTGTCAAATGGAACATCCACAAGAATCCTGGAATTGGTTAAGGAGAGAAGACAATTCTTCTGTAACTTTTAGGGAATAAAGAAAAATAATTTTCAGCAAATGTATATTCTACTCTGAACGAAGGTTTGTAACATTTGGAAAGTGCTAGCAATGAGTTTTTTGGTTTCTTTTTTATTAAAGGCACTCTATGTACCTGGTCCTTTCTGAGTCCCTCCTCACATACATACTTTTTTTTTCCCCCCCGACAAAGAAGAGTGTGTTCCCCTGGACCCTGGAAGAATCCAGGTGGAAAGTGGCCTGTCTGTGTATCAGTACAGATGACCCACCCAAACCCTGGCCATCTGTTGAATGACAAATATATTTGTCAGACTGGGTATGTACCTCTGAAAGAGAGCTTCTACTTTCTACCTAAGAACTGAGCCTTTACATAGAAGAGAGAGAGAGGGAAGACCTCCTGGGAAAAGAATGTGTATGAGGAAAGGTACACAAATAGAAAAACAACTCTTTGAAAGGCCCCAAGTAGGCCACATAACAGAAGTGGAGAGTATATCTGAGGTAGGGACAGCAACCCTAAAATGCCAACAGGAAGTACACAGTAACAAAAGTAAGTGAAGAAGAGAAGAAAGCTGGATGTGAAACAACAGAGTAGAGCAGGATCTTCTAATTTTTAAGAGAAGATAGAAATACAGATTTTTTTTTTAATTTTATTGTGATTTGGGTGAAAGTTTACAGAGCAAATTCATCTTCTATACAGCAGTTCACATACACTTTGTCTCATGACATTGGCTGCAATTTCCCACAATGCAACAGTTCTCCTCCTACTTCCTCCCCATAGCCACCTCTCTTCCCTGTGTCCTTCCCTCACATGCACTCCTGCCCTTGGAGCTGTCTCCTGGTGTATACACAACCCTTCTATTCTCCCATGACTTATCTCTCCAAGGAGTGTATCTATCTAATATAAATGTTTAGCTCATATGCCTATCTTTTGTTTGCCCAAAAGCCACAGGAGTATGTTCAATTTGAGATATGAAAAGCAGGTAGGGGCCAGTCTCAGTGGTTCCACCAGGCTCTATCAGACCAGCAAACTTGGTTCCACCCCCCGCCCTTTATTTTTTAAATGATTTTGAGTTTTATTCCACATTGTATTCCCACTCTATCCAGGATCTTCTACATAGATCCCCCTCCAAGTGGTTGACAGTGGTGGCTGAGCACCATCTAGTTCTTCTGGTCTCATAGTCGTACAGGCTGAGGATCGCATGGTGTACCACTCCCTTGGACTAATTGTTTCCATGTGTCTTTGGAAACACGGATTTCATAAATGAGGAAGACCACCCACATTTTTTTTAAAAAGTCAACTCTCATTTTAAAATACGCAATTAGATTTGACCAATTTATACAGCAGTGTAACCACCAACACAATCAATATATAAAATATTTCCATTGCTCTAATGAGTTCTGTTGTGCCCATTCTATTTAATACCAACCTTGCAAACCAGAGCCTCAGAAAAATTATTGTAATTATAGACTACATTTGTCTTTTTAAGGTTCTGACTTATTTCGTTAAGCCTACGTTTTAGAGATTCCTCCTTGTTGTTCATGTATTGGTATTTCATTCCTTTTACCATTCACCTATTATTGGACTTTTGGGTTGCTTCCAGTTTTTTGTGATTACAAATAAATGTTACCATGAATATTCATGTGTAGATTTTATATAGATAAATGGTTTTGTTTATCTTTGGTAAATACCTAGGAGTGGAATGGCTGGGTAGTATGAAAGGTGCATAATTAAATTTTTAAGAAACTATCAAACCACTGAACTGATTACTGTATCATTTTACAGTCCCATCAGCAATCTGAGAATTCTAGTTGCTCCACACCCTTGTCACATTATTTGGGTATTGTCAGTCTTATATTTTTAGCCAATCTAGGGGATGTATGAGGATATCTCATTGTGGTTTTGATTTGAATTACTCTAACAACTAAAGACACTGAGCATCTTTTCACATGTTCACTTGCCATCTATCTCATGTATCTTCTTTGCTCAAGTGTCTCTTCAAATCTTTTGTTCTTTAAAAAAATTGGCATGTTTGTCTTTTTATTACTGACTTTAGAGTACTTTATATTTCTGGATAAAAGTATGCTGTCATATATATGCACACACATACATATTATGGATGAAAGTACTCTGTCATATATATGCACACACACATACATGTATATATGTGCACACACTATACATACACATATGTATGTGTATATGCATGAATGTATATGTATATACATGAGTGTTGTCAGAAGAGACCTTTCCCTGGATCTCATGCTTGGTAAAGTGGAAGGTCAGCAAAAAAGGGGAAGGCCCTCAACATGATGGATTGAAACAGTGGCTGCAATGATGTGCTCAAGTATACCACGGATTGTGAGGCTGGCACAGGACCAGGCAGTGTTTCATTCTGTTGTACATAGGGTCAGTATGAGTTGAAGCTCACTTGAAAGCACCTAACAACAATACATTAGTGTACATATACATATATACATGCATATATACATACATACATACACACACACACACACACACACAAATATGACATTTTTCCCAGTCTATGGCTAACACTTTCATAAAAAAAAAAAAAATTGTGAGAAACTTTTAATTTTGATGAATACCAATTATTTAAGAAACGTTTCCCCTTTACTGTTGGCTACTTATTTTCTCAAAGAAGTTGTATAGTTTTAGTATTTACACTGAGATCTAAGATTCAGTGCAACTTAATTATTTTAGCATTTTTATTGACTATCAATGGACAATGTATGTGTTTAGGACCCAAGGTGGTACAGTGGCTAAAGCACTCAGTTGCTAACCAAAGGTTGATGGTTTGAACCCACCAGCCACTCCATGGGAAAAAGATGTGACAGTCCACTTTCGTAAAGATTTACAGCCTTGGAAATCCTATAGGGCAGTTCTACTCTATCCTATACAGTTGCCATGAGTTGGAATTGACTCAATGGCAGTGGGGTTTTTTGGTTTTTTTTTTTACATATGTATGGGTCCACTTCTGGATTCTCTTCTGTTTCAAGTGTTTACTATTACACGTATATAAAGCATTAGAAAAATAAGAAAGACAAATGGTGTAGTGCCTAAGGCATTGGACTGCTACCCAGAAGGCTGGCGGTTCAAACCCACCAGCCACTCCTCAGAAGGAAGTCTGGGCAATCTACTTCTGCAGTGATACTGCTTCAGAAACCCAAGGAGTGGTCACTATGAATCGGATCCGACTTGATGACAGTGAGCTTGGTTTTTTTGGTGTATGTATGGGTTCACTTCTGGATTTTCTTCTTTTACAAATGTTTACATTTGTAAATGTTACACATATACAAATGTTACACATATACAAAGCATTAGAAAAATTAGAAAGACAAAAATAATACAAAAGAGAAAAAGGACATGATGAAAGGAAATTTACAAAAGGAAATAAAAATATATTTAAAACTACTTATACTTAGCTAAATCAAATCGAACAAATATGTAAAAAGGAACAGATTTATAAATCTATAAGGATATATCAAACTGTTAGTAGTACATGTTGCTAGTTATATGGTTTATGAGTCATTTAAAAATTTTTAACCTCATTGCTTATCCATATATTCTATAGTAAACATACATTTCTTATCTATTTCTTTTCTCTCAAGTAGGATTCAAAAACGAGAACTAAGTAATACATATTTCTTCACATATTTGTCCTAAAGTAAAAAGCACAATCAAGTAATAAATTCAAATTACCTGCTGGTAATGGGGGAAATTTTTCAGAGCCTTGAAAAGTAGACAGGTGACCTCTGATAAGAGGCGAACAGGCATCCCCCTGGCCAAGCCCTGGCGTGTTAAGTTGAGAGCACAGGCACTGGCTGTGAATTGCACTGGCAAATCCAGTGGATGATTCCTCATTCCTATAGTCACAAGCTGAAGATGAAATTGATTTTAGTGGCATACAATAACATTACTATATCTATATGTCTAGTTTTGGTGCTAATTGGCAAAGCTTACTGAGACAGTAACAGGTGTTCCCTACATTCTGCATATTTTCTTTAGGACATGAAAATACTGTAGCGATACTTTCTAATTCAAATGTAGACATTAACTACCTGTGGGACTTTGGACAGGTCACTGTCCTTCTCTGGACATCTGGTTTTCTCATCTATAAAATTATTTAATTTCATACTAATTTATCAATCCCCACCATGCAAGGCACTGTGAAAGGCACTAGAGTAAACACAAATATACCCTGTTCCTTAGTTTAAAGTTTTGTGAGAGAAATATCACTCATTAGCAAGTTAAAACCATGAGGGATGCCAAAAACCACAAAACTGAAAAAAGCACAGTAAAAAAGGTATGAATAAAGTGCTGCCTAACCTCAACATAAAGAAAACAAAAATCCTCACAACTAGACAAATAAAAGCAACATCATGATAATGAAGAAAAGATTGAAGTTGTCAAAAATTTCGTATTACCTGGATCCACAATCAACACCAAAAGAAGCAGCAGTAAAAAATAACTGGGGGAAGGCAATATTAACTTCTGATCAAACTGACTTTAAAACAAAAACCACCATACGAGCAAGAAAGGACATTATATAATGATTAAAGGATCAATTGAACATGAAGATATAAGCATAATAAATATCTATGGACCCAATGAAAGAACCCCAAAATACATAAATCAGACTTAAAAGACATGAAAAGGCAAATAGATGACTCCACAGTCATAGTGGGAGACTTTAATACACCACTTTCAATGAACAACTGGAAAGAAACTTAACAAAGATGCAGAAGAGCTAAACAATACAATCCACCAACTTGACCTTATAGACATCTACAGAGTACTTCACCCAACAACAGCACAATACTCATTCTTTTCCAGTGCACATGGAACATTTTCCATGATAGACCATAGGTTAGGCCATAAAGCAAGCCTTCATAAATTTAAAAATATTGAAATACTAAAAAGCATCTTCTGAGAATCACAATGCTATCAAATTAGAAACCAACAAAAGGAAGATCAATGGAAAGAGAGTAAACATCTGGAAATTGAACGACACCATGCTTGAAAAAGACTGGCAAAGAGAGGAAATAAAAAGTGAAATTCAAAATTTCCTTAAATCAAACTAGAATGAAAACACAACTTACCAAAATCTTTGGGACACAGCAAAAGCAGTGATCAGAGGCCAATTTATAGCAATAAATGCACACATCAAAAAAGAAGAAAGAGCCAAAATCAACACTGTAAATCAGCATCTCCAGTAATGAGAAAAAGAACAGCAAGAAAAGCCTACAGTCACTAGAAAAAAGGAAATAATCAAGATATCAGCAGAAATCAATGAAACAGAAAATAGAAAGACAAAAGAAAAAATCAACAACACCAGAAGTTGGTTTTTTGAAAACATCAATAAAATTGACAAACCACTGGCATATTTAACAAAGGAAAAGAAGGAGAGAGTACAAATAACACAATTAAGAAACGAAATGGGTAATATCACAACAGAACCAACTGAAATAAAAAGGATAATATCAGGATACTATCGAGAACTGTACTCCAACAAATTTGAAAATCTGGAAGAAATGAACAGATTACTAGATACACACCACTTACCAAATTAACATGTACTGATGTGGAAAAGTTGAATAGATTCACAACAAAAGAAGAAATTGCACAGGTCATAAAAATATTACCAAGAAAAAAAGTCATGGCCCAGATGGTTTCACCGGAGAATTCTACCAAACATTCAGAGAACAACTGACACCAATCCTACTCAAACTATTCCAAAACACAGAAAAGGATGGACCCACCCTAACTCATTTTATGAAGCAAGCATAACCTTGATACCAAAATCAGGCAAAGACATCCCTCAAAAGAAAAACTAAAGAACAATATCCCTCATGAATATAGATGCAAAAATCTTCAACAAAATCCTAGTTAATAGACTCCAAGAACATATCAAGAAAATCATTATGACCAAATGGGGTTCTTATCAGGTATGCAAGAATGGTTCAACATTAGAAAAACAATCAAAGTCATCCACCGCATAAATAAAAGAAAGGAGAAGAACCACATGATCATATCAATGGATGCAGAAAAGGCATTTGATAAAATCCAACATCCATTCCTGATCAAAACTCTCAGCAAATAGGAAGAGAAGGGACATTCCTCAACATAATAAAGGGCATCTATGCAAAACCTTTGGGGCCAACTCGACTCATAGCAACCCCTCCTTGGGTTTCCCAGGCAGTATCACTACGGAAGTAGGATTGCCCAACCTTCCTCGGAAGGAAGGTTGGGCAATCCTACTTCCGTAGTGATATGAGTTGGGGCCAACTCGACGGCACATAACAACAACAACAACAACAACATGCAAAACCAACAGCCAACATTATTCGTAACAAAGAGAGACTGAAACCATTCCCCTTGCGAACAGGAATCAGAGGAGGATGCCCTCTATTGCCACTTCTATTCAACATTGTATTGGAAGTCCTAACCAGGGCAATAAGGCAGGAAAGGGAAATCAAAGGCATCCAAATTGGTAAGGAAGAAGTCAAACTATCCCTATTTGCTGATGATATGATCCTATACCTAGAAAACCCAAGAGACTCAAGTCAAAAATCTACTGGAACTAATTGAAAGATTTAGCATTGTGGCAGGATACAAGATCAACATCCAAAAATCAGTTGGGTTCCTCTATACCAGCAAAAAGATTGCTGAAGAAGAAGGAATAAGGAAATCAATACCATTTACAATAGCTACCAAAAATATAAAATACCTGGGAATAAAATACTTCTTACCAGGGACACAAGAGACCTGTACAAAGAAAACCATAAAAAACTACTTCAAGAAACCATAAGAGATCTACATAAATGAAGGAACATATCACGCTCATAGATAGGAAGACTGAACATTGTGAAAATATCAATTCTATCCAAAGCAATCTAAACATTCAATGCAATCTGAATCCAGATCCCATCAACATTTTTTAAGGATATGGAAAAACCAATCACTAACCTTATATGGAAAGAAAAGAGACCCTGGATAAGCAAAGCACTATTGAAGAAAAAGAACAAAGTAGGAGGTCTTACACTGCCAGATCTCAAAACCTACTATACAGCCACAGTAGTCAAAACTGCCTGGTATTGGTTTAATGACAGATACATA